TTTTCAGCTTATAAGCATTTTCAGTAAACTGAGCAACAGCAATAACATTTCCGTGAATGCTAATGACCTTGCAATTTTTCTCACTAAAATAGACTTTGTTTCCATTTTTGATGATTTGGCCAATAGATAACAAATTAGTTGTCACTCCTGGAACAAATAGAGCATTTTTGATCTCTATATCATGCGCCTGCCCATCTACAATGGTTGCAAGTTGTATATTTCCTGTACCCATCACTGGTAGTTTTGTTTGATCAGCTATAGTAATTTCCCTTGGTTCAACCACATCTTGAAAATCACTTATCCATTCTTTTTTACATGTTATATGATGGCTTGTCCCAGAATCTATGTACCAATCACTGTTGCTGAATTCTCCGCTCATAAAGACTGCACTAAGAGCACAGACATTTTTACTTTGTCGCTCTGGCTTGAATTATCATCTGAGTTGCCCATGCTGCCTTTGGGACATTTATTCATGTAGTGACCAAACTTTTTACATCGGTAGCACTGGATATTCTGCAACTTGGAGCTGTCGTGTTTCCGCTGATCCTTTTTCCCATAATTAGGCTTTCCAACAACAAATGCTGAAGCTGTTGATTTATGAGCACCTTCCTGAGATATATCTAGTAACTCAATTTGAATATTCTCCGTTGGGATAGCAATCCCACTATGCTCAATTGCCATAATCATAGGAGTAAACTGCAATGAGCCTATCCATTTCTCATCAATGGAAAATCCTGTTTTCTTTAATTTCTGTGCTGTTTCAATAACTTGTGAACTAGTGTCACATAGGACTCCATATTCTCACAATTATCCAATCGTAAAGATATTAAGGCTCGTAATAAATAGATCTTACGTGTAAAGCCTGTATCTGCATACATTGTTTTCAACGTTTCCCATCATCTGTGCTGTCTCGAACATGAACAAACAATGAAGGATCAATTGTAAGCACCAACTTTGCCAGTGCCTTGTTTTGGAGAGTAGTGTCGATTTCTTCGTCACTTAAACACTTCTCCAAATCTTCTAGAATTAAAAAATTATCCACAGCGAAACTCCACTCATCATAGTTGTCTCGCACAGACAATTTGGGCACACCAGACAAAAAGTTCATTGCCATTTCGGTCCACACACTTCCAGAGCAATAAAACAATTGTTTTTTACTGATTACGAAGTTCACTACACAATCCACGAGTGGAAAAGGTCCTGGGCCAATAACCTGTTGAAAAGCAGACTATTTCAAAGGAAAATTAGCGAAAACTTGTAAAATCAAAAGTAAAAATTAAACAACGCACTCAATAAAGAGATATTGGAAGTCAAATGAAGGTAGTCAATAATAAAAGCGATGCTATTTTTACATTTGCGCATGCGTAGATGTATTTTTTAAATACGGCATCCTTTACTAAAATACTGCCTTCCTATATTAGAGAACGGATTCTTCCTGTCCCTATTTTGCCTTTATTTAACCTTCCGGAGATCGCGCGCGGACTATCTTACTTTGCAGTTAATTTCAAAAATCGACCAACCACGGCGCTGCAATCTTCAGTATCTCTTCTATCCCGGGTTCTCCTAGAGTCAGTGCTCACTTGTGCGTTGTTGTGTGCGTTTCTTACCAAATAATAATAGCCAATGCGGACTATGAGTACGCCCGCGAGTGTTCAGTTTCAATATTTTTATGTATGTTTGTCTTCCGTGATAACTGTATCGTATACACCAAAGAAGGAAAAAAACGTGCTGCTTTTATCAAGCATGCATTTTGACGATGAGATAGATGCTTCTACGAGTAAACCAGATATGATAATGGATTAAAATTCATCCAAAGGAGGTGTTGACTGTGTGGACAAGCTATGTGCTACTTATAACTGTGCACGAAACACAAGAAGATGGCCCATGGATGTTTTTTATTCGCCACTCAACGTATCGGGTATAAACTCTTTTGTGGTTTAATCAAAGAGCAATGATAGTGAGATACGACGAAGAAAGTTTTTACGATCTTTGTCATTCCAAATTCCAATTAGTGGAGGGCTATATTCGCCGTCGAGTGACGCAAACTATTCCCAAGACTACGCAGTTGAGAATAAGAGAAATTTTTGGATTGGAAACTCCTGCACCTGAGCCCCTACCAGCAGGACAACGTGGACGTTGCTCATACTGCGATAGAAAAAAAATAGACCTTCTCGTTTTTTTTTGCATGGAATGCCACAAATGTGTTTGTTTAGAGCATTCACTTGTTATTTGTCATGAATTTCGCTCACAATGAGGATGAATGCAACAGGTGCGGAGGAACAGGATACTGGGCGGTAAAATGTAGAAGAATAAATTATGTTATTGCTCAGGACTCTGCTCCATCTCTCCCCCAGAGCGATGACGAATTCGCTTTTTTGGGCTTGGTAAAAGCTGGTAGGAGTGCTAGTCCATGCCATACCATCATTTCTATGGATGGCATTCTAGTAAAAGTCAAAATTGATACTGGAGCAGATGTAACCGTAATAAAAAGCGACAGTTTGTCAAATTTGAAAAATATCAAACTTGTTGATTTACAGAAAATCCTAATATCTGCCACTGAAAATAAAATCGAGGTTTCAGGCAACTTTAAACCGTTCATTGCATGGCAAAATCAATGTTACGTAGGCCATATTTATATTGCAAATAATTTGCATGAAAATTTACTAGGAAGGGACGCTGTAGAATCACTACTAAAGATGTAAGCTTGGACAAATGCGGTCTCTAACACGAATGCTATCAGTAAGGAGTTCCCAACCATATTCGAATGCATCGGAGATGTAGGAGAAACGTATCACATAACTTTAAAAGAAGAAACGAAGCCATTTGCAATTTATACGCCACGTAGAATTCCTATACATTTGCGAGAAGCTACGAAAGAACATTTGAACATCTTAGAAAGCCGATAAATAATCTACTAACTAAGGTTAAAGAGACAACCCCTTGGTGTGCACCAGAGGTGGTAGTGCCCAAAAAAGATGGCACTGTCAGAACATGCGTAGTTCTCAATAAAAATGTGGAACGAGAAAGATTAGTATTACCGGATGTTGAAGAAGCATTGTCCCAAAATGAGTATTTTAGCAAGCTAAACGTCACATCTGGATTCTATCACATTCCACTGGATAAAGAATCGCAACTGATAACAACATTTATAACGCCATTTAATCGCTATGCATTTAAACGCTTGCCAATGGAAATCACTTCGGCAACAGAAAGATTTTAAAGACAAATGTTAGAGATTTTGGAAGGACTAAAGGGAGTAGTCAATGTAGCAGATGACACATTAGTATTTGGTAAGAACAATGATGAACACGACTCTCGTTTGAAGGCCATGCTAACACGTTTCTAAGAAATAGTATATTTCCTAACTAGTGCGGAAAGTTCCACTTTTCCGCACGCGATTGCAGCGGAGTGCGGAAAAGAGACTTTCCGCATGAGTTAGGAACAATATTTTTTCTACGAGATGGAAGTTAATATTTGTTCCTATATATTTACCAATTTAATACATTTTTTTTTACTTTTCCATACCTGTACCTGTTGTATACCTGTATACCTGTAAGTATCTGTATACCGTATACCTAAAAATTTTAGGTATTCTACTTTTCCGCACTCCAACCCCCCAACGCTATAAGCAGAGTTAGAAAACTGATGGACTGCATACAGATAAACACTAAATTCCTTCCAGGATTAGCCGAAATGTCCGACCCCATAAAACAACTGTTACGAAAAAAACAACGAATTTATGTGGGCAGAGCATATAATTCTAAAATGCAAAGACCCAAACTTAGAACTGTTAAGTTATAGAACAGCAAAACTAGAAGTGGATTTTCACCAGCAGAACTGATCATGGGAAGGAAACCTAGGAATTCAATTCCAGCTAACAAAGATAGATTTATCCCTAAGTGGAACTACATAAACGACTTCAAAGAAGTCAGAAGCAACGAAAAAAAAGTTCAAACATTCAATTTTAATAAGCGACATAAGTAAGATCAAATTTTATCTTGAAAAATAACAAGTTTGGATATCCGATGAAAATGTTTGGGAAAATAATGTTGGACCTGAACCTGGAACATATACATTATCGCCGCAGAAAATAACGTCATAAGGCGAAACAGAAGCCAAGTTATAGAAGTAACTTCAGAAGCGACTTGAGCCGGCAACGCCGCTCTAGAGTCGGGATAGCAGCCCTCGGCGCAAGGACCCAGCAGTTGATATCAGGTAAGCGTACCACAGGCTGCTACAACGGATACCCTGTATTTAATTCTTATGGTTTCCGCAACGAAATTGCACTACAACAGACGAAAATTAATGCATGTCCACGTAATCGCGGACGAAATTTAGAAAAACAAACTCGTCGCTAGCTACCAGTAAGCAGTACCGGGTCAGCCTTGAATCAAGCTCCTCCGCCATCCGCATCGCATAACTTTATCGGAACTATTCGACATTCACTATTGTGTGTAAAATTTTATGTTTTTGTTACCGAACTGTAAGTAATAAATAAATATTGATTAGATATACTTTATTTATTAAGTTACAAGGTTTTAAATATTTGAGTTATGATCTCCAAAAAATATGATTTTCTTTTTAAATGATAATTTCCTATCTATAATCAACTGGCTAGGATATATTTATATGCTGTCCAACAATAATAACTGCATCAATAAATCAAAACATCTAGAGAACGTATTTATTTTTAAACATCATTATCAACTATTATTTGATTGCTAATTCATTTTCCAATACGTTGCACAATATGTTGCACTATCAATATAATAGACAATTTTTTTCGGAAAGTATTTACTCTTATGATTTGACAAAATTATCTTTATTTGACAGGATCATAAGGAGGAAAACGGTTTAAATACAAAAGCACCTTTGGCAAAATTGAGATTATTTGCTGGAGCAAAAAATTGGTAAGTGAAATTCACTTAATTAATGCCTCTATCGGGTACCCAAGAGCACAATATTTTTCTATTTTTAGAATAACTCACTCGTTAATCATAATGACTTCCTACAAAAACATGGAACAAATCTTGCAAAATATCAACAGAAATTATATCCAACTGAAGACAGAAGAGGTCAAACATAACAACGAGATTTTAAAATCGACGCTTGAAAGAATGATCGAAATAATGAAAGCTTTAGACCCTCTATTCGAAATCATTTACCAGAAGCCATTTTTCGGAGGAAGCTTCTATGACGATCTTAAAGTTGGAAAACCCGACGAGTTTAAAATAGACCTTGTAATGGTTTTCTCGAAAATTGTTTGTCAGAAACACAAAACTAAGAAATGTGGCTGTGTCGTTGCGAAGCCCAGCAATAAACCGGGATTTTTTTGGTTTAAAGTAAACGAGAATTTTTATCAACCTTTAAATAAATTTATTGTTGATGAATATATGCGAACAGACTTGATACTGTTTTGGATGCAAAGTTTAGTAACTAGGGCCTTAAACCTAATTCGTTCTGAATGTTCCTCCTTGTACAAAGCCGATGTGGAATATAAACCACCGGGTCACTTTTCGCAATCAGTATCAGCCATAAAGCTGCGGCTATATGGAAAATTTGGACACATGAATGTAGACTTGGTACCTGCATTTAAATTTGGTCCTGATTCTTGGCCTGAACAAGGCTTCAGGCCCAATCCAAGTGATAAAGAACATGATTTTTTTATTGTTCCAGAAAAGACAAGTAGTGAGCGTTATTGGAGAGCTTCGTTTCCATGTCAAGAAAGAGAGTTGTTAAATAACAAACAACGATTGAAGCCAGCCCTTAGATTGTTGAAGAAAATGCGGAACAATTTGGATCATCAAATATCTAGCTACGCTCTCAAAACTATCGTTCTACTAGAATTAGATAGTGGGTGGTTCAATTGGGAGGATACTCTTGCTGACACATTCATGAAACTTTTGAAAAAGTATAGGGACTGTTTAAATGAAAAGAAAATTCCATATTACTGGAACAAACGCAATAATATGTTAGATTGTACTAATGATGAAACTTTGACAAATCATTACAATGAAATTGCAAAAAAAATTAGGAAAATCGACAGGGAGTACATGGATGATCCGTTTGTAATTGCTAAAGTTATTCTAAGGGAAGGCTCAGAGGAATATAAAGAATTTCGAAGAAAGTATGGAAACGATGTGATGGAAGATGAAAGCACCACCGATTCAGAAGGGGACGATTTGCCCTCGTATGACCGCGATAGGTTTAGTTTTTCTGATTCATCTTCATCCGATGATCTAAACATGCGGAGTTCTTATAGTGGCTCTAATGGAAGGTCTGGTATGAATCAGGCAACTAGTAGCTCTGATGGTGGGTTGACAACAGGACTGGCTTTGTTAGGAGTTGGGGCAGCAGCCGTGGTAGCTTTGGGTGTATTCGGTGCATTGAGGAACAACAATAGAAGGAATGATTAGATATTACCATTTAAACTGTTCAAGATACAATTATTTTCAATGTATACTACTTAACCCACAATAAATGGATGTTTCAATATTTTGTCAACTTGATTGCTCAAAACATTAGTTTAGAGCTTCAAACCCAGAAATAAATTCCAAGATTCCAAGGATCTAGTTCATTATACTCAAAATTTAGCTGTCTAGCGTCTCGTCCTTCAAACTCGAGTTTGGTTCTCATAAAAGGGCATCGCCAGACCAAATATTCCTGGTAATTTTTGATAATTTTTTCATTTGAACCTGAACCATTCAGAACCCTCTTTTGAGTCCACAAATCATCTGGTTCTAAAAGTGCTTGCAAAGTTAGTTTGTCGATGATGACAAAGGGTTCGCGATTGTGACTAGAAACTCATAATATAATTTTTGAGGCCGCACAGGCACAGAAATTATAAAAATTCTAGAGAACAAAGGCGTTGTCTGTGAATAAGCCAGAGACACTCATACATTGTAGTATAATCAATATTGATAATGATTTCATTTTCGGGAAATGCCAATCTTATCAATTAATCAATACTCTTTGCAACAGTGAGATCATGTATAAATCGTATAATTTGCGCTGTTTTTGTTTAAATTAAAACCCCACAGTATCTATGAATTTTCAAATAAGTGTTTGGTAAGTGAACAAAAAAGCAATAGTTTATTAACAATTTTCATTATTGTTATTAAAATAAGATGTTCCAATTTTCCGCCATATAGTAACTATACATACCTACATATTTATCTGCATGTTTTTGAGCTGTAAATTTCAATAAGAACACTAGTAGTTGTGTAAAATTTTTTCTCTACGAGCGTGCATTTTCTCAGTTTTTCTGTCTCAATTTTTGTCTATTGCCGGCTCTTGAATTTTCGTTTTCTTTTATAAATTTCTCCTAATGAAAAAAAACTTAAGAGCTTGGAATAAAAATGAGATAGGTTCATTGTGTACCAATTTTTTCTCAATTTCTCTTGAACTCCTCTTTTTTTATATTTCTCAATTTTTCCCGCCCAATTTTTGTTTATTCCCGGCTTTTGAATTTGTCGAAATAGTAAATATATTACGTATAGGGAGTCCGGAAAGCCCTCTTTTTTTGGACGAGTAGACAAAATTCCAAGGCCAGTCCTGGAAGTTAGCAAATCCGAAGAAACAATTTCCAGGCGTATTACGACCGGTGTGATGTTAGCATGCCGCTCCGAGCACGCCAAAGTGTGAAGTTAGAAGTTAGGTGTTTCACGTTCAAATTTGGAAGGATGCTTCTTCAAGGGATGCTTTACCATCCCTCAAAAGGAAAATTCCTTGCCAGCCGTCAAACTTAGAGAAATCATCCCTTGTATGTAAAAATATTGGAAATTTCATATTTTCTTATTTTTTCTACAGGCACCTAGATGGTGTTTCACGTTCAAATTTGGAAGGATGCTTGTTCGAGGGATGCTTCATCATCCCTCAAAAGGAAAATTCCTTGCAAGCCGTCATACTTAGGAAAATCATTCCTTGTATGTGAAAATATTGAAAATTTCATATTTTCCTATTTTTTCTACAGACAACTAGATGGTGTTTCACGTTCAAATTTGGAAGGATGCTTGTTCGAGGGCTGCTTTATCATCCCTCGAAAGGAAAATTCCTTGCCAGCCGTCAAACTTAGGAAAATCATCCCTTGTATGTAAAAATATTGAAAATTTCATATTTTATTATTTTTTCTACAGGCACCTAGATGGTGTTTCACGTTCAAATTTGGAAGGAGGCTTGTTCAAGGGATTCTTTATCATCCCTCAAAAGGAAAATTCCTTGCCAGCCATCAAACTTGGGAAAATTCTTGGAAAATCATCCCTTGTTTTATATTGAAAATTTCATATTTTTCTATATTTTTTTTCAGACACCTAGATGTAATGTAATAATACATTTTTTCTAATTTTGACATTTAAAGTGACACTTTTCAAAACTCGTTGACGTTATCAAATGTCTTACTTTTCATCACCAGTTACGAAAAGTAAAATTTTTCGCAACTGGTGATGAAAAGTAAATTTCACCATCAGTTGCGAAAAATACAGAAATAAAATGTGTGATAATTTTAACGCTAAACTACTTGAAGTATTGTTATTATATTCTTCGTAGGTACATATGGAAATTAAATTTGACCATGAACTAAATTTGACATAGGGCCAAATCATATTTGCCTTTTGACTTCTAAGGAATAATTTATTGTAGATAAAGAAGATTGAGCCGACTCCTCAATGTCACTCGGTACGTCGCTTCCTGAATTGATGGACATTAGAATCTAATAATAATTATTCTTTTACCCTATGAAGTTTGAGTGGTTTATATAAGAACAATATTAGAGAATTATGGCACTTTCCAAATAGTGATCGATTTTATTACTGATCGGCCTTATTTAATTACTGACAGTCACTATTTATTATGAATAAAAAAAATTATGGCACAACATGTTAAATTGGCACTATTGTGACCATTTTTTCGAGTCAGTGTCTTATTGTTTACTCAATTGTAATGGAAGAAATGTTAGAAGCTGCCATTCTAGGGGGTGCAAATGATGTTTTTCGGTTTTATCCACCCACAAAACACAAACAAAAAAATATAAACAAATTATGTGAGGTTAGAATCTGAAAAATTCCTGGACAACTGACATTTGATTCAGATTTGCGCATGTCTCAAAAAATAGTGGAATAAATACTGCCTTTCACTATCCATTCACAAATAAGGATGATCCTTATCTTATTACTGACCGCCACTATTTTTAGTCACAAATACGCATGCGTAGGTGTCAATAATGTCAAAATAAGAACGTTTATATTAGTGACCGTCGCTATTTGAAGGTGCCATAATTCTCTATTAAATATTTTTTTTTACTTTTTCAAAAATTAGAGACGCAGACTTGACACCTCTATACTTGACACTATTTCTTCTGTAGCAACGGAAAACGAAATACTTAACAAATAAACATCTCTGAACTCACCTGACGCTTGACAATTAGACATAATCATTCGAAGTATGTTTTTTATATTTTTAACTTGAATTAAACAGGATCACATGGTCAAAATTAGAAAAAATATTGTGTGAAACACGTTGGGAAACACTATTTTTCGTAACTCTCTTCCTTTTGCGGAACTCGCTTCGCTCGTTCCGCAGAAATCTGTTCGTTACGAAAAATAGTGCTTTTCCCAACTGGTTGCACAAATAACTATTCAGTATTTTTCACACAAGCGACGATTTTTCTAAGTTCGACGGCTTGCAAGGAATTTTTCTTTTGAGGGATGATAAGGCATCCCTTAAACAAGCATCTCTTCAAATTTGCACGTGAAACATCATCTAGGTGTCTGAAGAAAAAATTGAGAAAATATGGAATTTTCAATATTTTTACATACAATGGATGATTTTCCTAAGTTTGACGGCTGGCAAGGAACTTTTCTTTTGAGGCATGATAAAGCATCCCTCGAACAAGCATGCTTCCAAATTTGAACGTGAAACACCATCTAGGTGTCTGAAGAAAAAATGAGAAAATATGGAATTTTCAATATTTTTACATACAAGGGATGATTTTTTTAAAATCGACGCCTGGCAAGGAATTTTCCCTTTGAGGGATGATGAGACATTCCTTGAACAAGCATCCCTCCAAATATGGACGTGAAACACCATCTTACGTGAGTGAAAGAAAAAAAAAATTGCGCCGTGCTAGAATGGCGGGCAAACTTCACACTTTGGCATGCCTGAGCGGCGTGCTAACTTTCCTTTTTGGCGTGCTCGAGCGGCGTGCTAACTTTTTACACTTTGACGTACTTACTTTACTCTTTGGCGTGCTCGAGCGGCGTGCTAACTTCACACCGGTGTATTAGGTACGTAGGTATAGGTAGGTACACTATTTTTTCGGCAACAGTTCGGAAAGTGCATACTTTCCGGACGCGTTTCATTTCCTGGCCTAGAGTGGAAAAGACATATTTTCTCAAGTGAAACGTGTTCGGAAAGTATGTAGGTACTTTCCGAACGAATGCCGAAAAAAGAAAAAGAGCCTGGAACATAGGCTCAGAATAGAAAAAACATGAATGTCTTATCTACCATTTTTTTCTCAATTTTTCTACTTTTCTTCTCTAGTTAACTCTCAATTTTTCCGTCTATTCCTGGCTTTTGAATTTGTCGAAATAGTAAAATACTATACATAAGGAGTCCGGAAAGTCCTATTTTTTCATACGAGTAGACAAGTCAGCGAGTCCGAAAAAACAATTTCCAGGCGTATTACGTAGGTAGGTACACTATTTTTCGGCAACAGTTCGGAAAGTACATACTTTCCGGACGCCTTTCATTTCCAGGCCTAGAGTGGAAAAAACATACTTTCTCAAGTGAAACGCGTCCGGAAAGTATTTATCGGTACTTTCCGAACGGTTGCCGAGAAAAGCAAATTCAAGAGCCTGGAACATAGACTCAGAATAGAAAAAACATGAATGTCTTATCTACCATTTTTTTTTCTCAATTTTCCTACTTTTCTTCTCTAGTTAATTCTCAGTTTATCGATATATCGTATCGGTAAGCCCTCCCCTATTGTAATGTGCTCGAGTCTGAACCTAAACGCTGTGCCAAAACGTCCTCTGTCCTCTACCCCTCTGTCTCTCCTCTAGTCTCTTATATTAATATTACTACGCCTCGAGCTCTTGAACCAAGTAGTCGGGCTACGCAGTCGGCGTTTTCTATTATTGGGCTGCCGTTCTTTTAATAATTCAAGCAGCGCCCATTTAAACATACTATGTATCGCTAGTTATGGATATACCAGCCATATCTGGTTAGTCTGTTTTTTTGAATTAGGTAAGTCATCATATTCTCAAAGTGAATCGACATTTCAGGTGTTAGATGTCCTAAATCTATCTAGTGCATCTTTCAATATTCTGTAATATTTTATATCCTGTTTTGGTGTCCCAATACTAACACTCATCTCAATTCCTATATCGATTTTCAATATCTGTGGTGTTTTTTTTGGGTTGACAATATTTCATTCTAGAAGTTCCCTCAGCCAACCAGAGATTTTCCTCTTGACTAAAACTGATTTTCTTGAAAGTTCTAGTTTAATCACTTATAGACACCTCGACAGAAGTTGATCTTATACAACTTCTGTCGTTGAGTTTTAAAATTTAGATTCCGATATTCGTTTGTTAATTAGGAACCTATACAAACATATATATCAATCATTTACCACCGATATAAAATCGGCATTTCTTTGGTTTCTGACTCATACCAATACAATTTTTTTTTTCAGATAAGTTACTATCGCCATGTCATACAAAAATATGGAAAACGTCCTACAAAAAATCAACCAAAAATATATCTCATTAAACAACGATGAAGTGAAACACAATAACGCCCGTCTAAAATCGACCCTAGAAAGCATGATATGTGAAATGAAAAAGCAAAGTGCGGTATTCAAAACCGTTTTCGATAAACCCTTTTATGGAGGAAGCTTTTACGACGATCTTAAAGTGGGCAGCCCGGACGAATTCGACCTAGATCTTCTGCTTGTATTACCCAAATCATGCGAAAAACATAAAAAGAAAAATTGCGGCTGTGTGAAACTGGAGACCAGCAATAAACCTGGATTTTTTTGGTATAAAATTGACCCCGACTATTACCCGCCATTTAAAGATTATATCGAAAATGACTATTTGCAAACCAATTTAATTTTAGATTGGGTAAAAGGGCTTGTTACCAAAGCACTAAACTCTTTAAATTCTGTAGATTTCTCTTGGGGTACTCCAAGGTACCATTCAGAATCAGGTCCAGCACTTACTCTCAAGCTCTATGGCCAGTTTGGACATTTTGACGTTGATCTTGTGCCTGCTTTCAAATTCGGCCCCGAATCTTGGCCTCAGTACGGATATAAGCCTAATTCCTCTAGAAGAAAGACAGACTTTTTTATTGTACCAAAAAAAGCTAGACTACAGAACTGCGGCGAACGATATTGGAGAGCTTCTTTTCAAGATCAGGAAAGGGAGCTTATTGAAGGTAAACAACGATTGAAGCCCGCATTGAGATTGTTGAAAAAAATGAGAAACAATTTGGGACAAGTTTCAGTATCCAGCTATGCCCTTAAAACTTTAGTATTGTGGGATCTAGACTCGGGATATCTAGATTTTAACGCTCCATTGGCCGATGTATTTATGAAACTTTTGAAGAAGTACGCGGAACATTTGCAGGCTAAATGCGTTCCTTATTACTGGAACAAAAACAACAACCTTTTGGATACAATACAACTTACCACTTTGGAAAATCATCAAAATGAAATTTCACGTAAAATCGCAAATATTGAAAGAAACTACTTGGCAGATCCGTTAGTGGTGGTGAAAATTATTTTAAAAGAAGGAACCCAGGAATATAATCTGTTTATGACAGAATATTTCCCTATAAATGCAGTTCCCTCACTGGGATTGGGCAATTTGTCTCTCTCAGATAGACATCGACCTGCTGAGAATCAAGGAGGTATCCAACAAGTGGCTAATGCAAATTACAGGTGGGGAATAGCAGGAGCTATTTTGGGAATAGGAACAGTGGCTGCAGTGAGTATATATTCGGCCATTACGAGAAACAGGAACAACCAAAACTAAACCACAAAATGTTTTAATATATTGATATTCTAAAGTAACCGAGTTTTATTTTGGTTTAGGTACTTACCCTTGTAGCTTCGTTGTATCCAATTATCACAGCAGTATACCATTGGGTCGTGCCCTCGGCCCTATAAACTTCCACTCTATACCCTAATAAAATGCTTGGTGTAGTAAGCAAGATTTTTTGTCCGTCTTGCAGTTCCGCCCACCTTTTAACGGCCAAACGAAGTTCTGGATAATCTCTTACTCCTCGTATACTGGTATCCCATTCCTTGAAAAAAAGGAAAGAAAACGGTTTAGTTTCCAAAGATTTTTGTACATTTAAACGATGAAGCGTTATTCGTTCAACTATACAATTCAATGTCGAGATTGCTAATTTGGATATTTTGTTTTTGAGTTTGATAATCTTAAATAGTTGAAGATGTAGTACGAAGAATCATTGAAAAATTATTTATCAAAGACAGACCGTTTTTTAAAAAGTAATGTGTTTTATTGGAGAAAATGCCACCATGAAGGAAACTGATAATTAATGGAAAAAAATCCAATATTTTATATTACATGTAAGTAGGTACCTACATCAAAGTAATTAGGAAGTACCGTTACGAAAATAGACCAAAAATTTACTTAGATACAGTTTTGACTTCTTAAAAATGTTGGTAGAGTGAAGAAGTATTTGCCATTATTCGCGATGGTGGAAAAGGTAATTTGGTCAATGGAGCCGATCTTCTACTACTGGGTGACTTCCATGGTCAAATGAATTAGCAAAACTTCGTTAAGTCGCTAACAGCAGACTCTTATAGCAAATATTCCGCCATGAAGGAAACTGATAAGTAATGGAAAAACCCAATATTTTATATTTCATGTATAATAAGTAGGTACCTACATCAAAGTAATTAGGAAGTACCGTAACGAAAATAGACCAAAAATAATTTACTTAGATACAGTTTGGACTTCTTAACAATGTTGGTAGAGTGAAGAAGTATTTGCCATTTTTCGCGATGGTGGAAAAGGTAATTTGGTCAATGGAGCTGATCTTCTACTACTGGGTGACTTCCATGGTCAAATGAATTAGCAAAACTTCGTTAAGTCGATAACAGCAGACTCTTATAGCAAATATTCCGGATAATTCTGTCATTGTTTTTAGGCTCCTTGCCATTCAGCACTAGAAATCCCAGCAAGATTCTCATCCAGAAAAGATTTGATGGACTAAAAACACTATTCTGTTAGAGCCATCCACCAGAAAGTTTAAACTCTATGAACTTGTATGTTGAAAAAAAAAAAAAAAACTTGTATGTTTCCACAATCCAAGAAACGATGACAAGAACTATAAAATTTCCAAGTCTTAAGGGAAGTTTCGAGATTTCTCATATACTAGGTTCAACTTCCTTTCTTTTGATGTAATTCTTGGAAAATCTTTCCAGAATAGATTAAAGATTTCTGGTTAGAGGCAATTCAAAGTGCTGGATCGATGTACTTCTCATCATGAAGTTCTTAGCAAAAATCTTGGAGGATGGCAAGGATTTCGTCTTTATTTGTTGTAGTTACGATTCCATCTCTGTTTTTCGTTTCAGACATATTTGTGTTCTAGTGGATGTGTGTTTTTCCAATTCGATAAATCTATTCTATCATCATGGTCAATTGACTTACTATTCTATAGAAGTTTGCAAAAAGCTTGTGCGTCTTTTCCTCCAGTGTCTTCAGATCTGCTGTACTTTGTTTTTGGTTGAGTGTCTTCTTCTTTTTTGTAGGTAATTATTGTATTCCTTGTTACAAACTACTGTCACTTCTACTACTAAATTCATCAATCAGCAACCCGGTTTGATGCTTTCTGAAAGGAGATCGATGTCATTTAAATAGTGTTGCTCCGTTTTTTGATGATTGTTTTCTTGTAGAATGTATTCATGTAACGTGTTTCTAACGCCCATGCTATGATTGCCCACCACTGTTTTGAAGTCAACTTTCTTCTTGTCAACTGTACCTACTCGGATCTTGTTCAAGTTCTTCCGCTTTTTCCAGTATCCTATGACTTTGCTCTTGATATTAACTTATTTCTGATAGAAGATCTCGGATTTCAAGTTAGTTGTTGTCGGCGTTTTCTTCTCACTTCACTCAGTCACACATTGTACAACCAATATCGTATTTTTAGAACTTCGACACGCAAAAACTCCATTATATCGGTTATCACACTCTGTCTTTGTTACGTGACTTTCTGGTATTTCCGTTGTATTGATGAATTATTCAATTTCGCTTTTGTGTTGTCTGATGTCCTTATTATTTTTTGTGTCGTCTCCGCCAACAACTTGTAATTACAGAAACGTCTCGAATTGGAAAACAATAAATAAATGCCTCTTTGGAAATTTGCGTAAATTGAAAGGCCGATGGCAACCTCCACCCCCTAGTTAAGTTGTCTTTCAATAATTTGAGCTTCTTTGTTTATGGCGACAGTTGGAACAATTTTGAATGTTGTTTCATTAAATTTTAACGTGTTACTGGTAAGAATCAAGAAACGAAACATGCTCCTTTTTTAAATGAATAATAACGGCTGGTAGCATGCAGAAAGCAATACAAAATTATTGATTGTTCGAGTTTCTGTTTCGCCTCATATTCATGTAATTAAACAAAACTATTCTTGCATTCAGTCCATGTAGTTTTGAAAGGTTTATTGGTACTTTCGAATGCAATTGGTAGGGAAGGGAAATAAATCATGAGATTTTGACAATAATGTGCATCATCAGCCTTCCTTTCATGTTCTTTATTTAGTATAGGTCAGTTTTGTAGGGTATTTCTAAAGTGTGTCATCAAAAAGGTCTAGCAAGATTAAAAATATTTATTCGCAGGATGTTCTCTCATGACTACACTACATACCTAATATTCTCAACAAGAAATAAAAATTAGGAGGTGCAAATTGGTGGTGTACGAATTCTCATTCTAGAATGGGCAACTTTGCTTTCAAGACTCTAAGTGCGGTTCTTGAAACAACAGTATTTACCTACTATGAGTCATATTAGAATTTATTTACTGTTATATTGGGTCCCCTCTTAGTTTCATTAACAAAGTTGTTAGGAATTTACATTACAGTGAACAAGGACAAGTAAAAATTGAATTACTCACTTGATACGGTTTCAGGTTCTTGTATTCCTTGAACCCCAATTCTCTATCCAAAAGAAATTCTACAGGTTGAAGATTGCTTGGAATATCTAAGTTGGACACCAGAGGCATGAAGGTCTAGAAAACAAATCATCATATTAGTTTCTTAAATTTATTCGAATGGTTTTCAAGCATGTTTCAATGGAATTATTGTTCAATTGACTTAAACTAACATATTTATGTCGCCATTCTTATCCATATTTGGCCTTTGAATAAAATCCATCAACCTCGACCCTCATCAACAACTATTCAATACAATTACCCACTTACGACATACAGGCGCCATTAAAGAAAAAAAAAAGCAAACACACAAATCAAAGAGTAAAAAAGAGAAAGTCAAACTATTTCCAAACGTGTTGTATTTACTATTATTACAGTTGGATTGTATAATTTATTGACTTTAATATTACAAGCCGGCGATTTCTCCGGGGCGTTTAATTTAGTGCACATCGGTGAGTCAACAGCCGCTTCTTTCTTAAAAGATGGCGTGTCGACCGAATGCAAAATGACGAAACATCACGAATTAAATTAGCACTGAACTACAAAGCAGAATGGAATTGTTATTAATGTATATGATATTATTGCACCGTCATTATTTATTCTTGTTTTGTCAGTGTTGACTAATGGTGTTATTGGCCCCTCGAGCTACCAATTTTAGACTTAGTTTATGACTCATTTGAATAATGGTATATTTAGTAATACAATTCGCATTTTTAAATAGATATTAATGTTTTTTCTTCTGTTTTATTTAATCTTGTGAATGGTCAAATTCAGCAGATTATCACAATTCTGCCTTTTTAATGATCCAATGACAAAATTCAATACAAATTCCATAGAAGCAGATGAGTATGGAGACTCAAGACTTCAAGACTCACAAGACTTTGCTCACACTCTTCAATAGTCACAACGGCTAAGTTCTTATCATTCTTTGTTTGGTGTGTAGAGAGCAGTTTTCGAAGAATCACTTCTTAGGGCCGGTTCGACAATTCAGGTATATATACCTAGTATAGGCTATACCTAGAATAAAAATTCATTATTGGGTTCGACAATTGCCGTATAACGATATTCGGAGAATAAATTAGGGTAAATATAAGTTATCCGGCCGTCCTCTACCGTATATACTCGGAATAAAGTTATACTGTCTTTCTATCGGTCGGGGCTGGGTTTGATTATCTGTGCTGATTGATAATCAGCTGTTAGTGTTTGTCGGGTTTTCCGTTTGTCAACGTGCATGATAACTAATAAGCTAATAACCTAAAAACTATTTTTTCTACAAACGTGTTAAAAATGCAATTTTTAACACCCCCTCGAAGCATTAAAAATGTTACTTTATTGCACTAGTGTTAAAAGTCTTTAAGGCACTAGTGTTAAAAATGAAACATCAAAATTTGAAAGCAAACGTCAAAAAAAATTTGTATTTTTAATTATTTACATTAATATTAATGGTAAAATTTGTACAACTGAGGAAGCTCCATCGGCCGCCTCCTCTATATTTTTCAAGAAATTGATGCAACCCTCTTTTTCTTGTGTATTTGTTGCATTTTTAGCAAAAAGCTTACTGACCACGATAGACCATACGACAGACTTTCAAGAAACTGACGAGACATTTCATTACCTGTAAAACAAGGTGCTGGTTGTTTGAATTTTTTGACAAATATCAAATTCAATAATTTTACGTAGGAAAGATGCTTCCAATTTATTATTCATTTAAGAATCCAATTTGTCACTGGTTATTGCTTGTTATTGCCGTTTGTAGAAAAAATATTGTATGATATTTGTGTTAAAAGTATTTTTAAGGCACTTATGTGAATTGCAGAATTCGCTTCGCTCATTCTGCAAACTTTCACATGCGT